GTTCCATCTGCTAGCCAAGGCTCCAATTTTTCACGCAAACTGTCGCTAATTGTTTCAATGCCGAGCATATAGATGCTCCTTCTTGCTCCGTTTCCTGTTTCTGTTGCTTCCTCTGTTGATAAGGTAAACATGTAAAGGATCCTAGGAATTCCGCCTCAAACGTATCTTGTATTTTGGCTAATGTGAGAGTCGATTGTTAAAAATTCGGAGGCACTTACGTTACTTATAAGACAAGAGAGTCCTGATTTAATCGCGCTTACCGAGACATGGCTCAACCCTGCAATCGACATATATTCGCTTATTCACGTGGACATTTCCTCATATTGCGTGGTAAGGTGTGATCGCCTCTCTAAAAAAGGTGGGGGAACTGTTTTGTTTGTGAAGGATACACTTTCTCCCAACACTGTTTTCTCAGAATCGGTACCAAATTCTTATGAGATTCTATGTTGCGACTTATGCATCCAACTAGTGGTCATACGGTTTATATCGATTTATAGAGCACCGGACTGTACAGCTGCCATGTCAGAACAGCTAGTTAGAGCGATTAGTGATTTGGTCTCCTGCCGATATCCCTCTGTACTAGTTGGAGACTTTAACTTTCCATGCATTACTTGGAACTCCACCAAAAAAGCGCTGCCGATTCGGCTATCATCTAGCGGTCGTTCTTTTTTGGATATGTGTAGCAGTTATGGGCTAAGGCAATACGTCACTACGGGAACACATCATGAGAATATTTTAGACTTGGTTTTGTCAAACGACGATTCTCTTATTTCTGACCTTAACATTCGAGCCCCTCTCGGCTCAAGCGACCACTCAGCCGTGGCTTTCGCGATTAATGTTCAAATATCAAGGAGGACAACGATTTTCAGAAGAGATTTTTCTGCGGCCAACTATACGGATATTGAACGTTACTTGGCAAATGTTGATTGGTTTGGCTCTCTGAATACGGTAAATTCGGTGGATGCCAAATACGAGCTTCTTCTGAGTATCCTTTCTCACACTATTGAATTATTCGTTCCTATATCACAGAAACCCTTGAGAGATTCTAATTTACCGCGGTACCTTGTCAAGTTATCATATAGGCGAGAGTTAGCGTGGCATAGAGCGCAAACTTCTAAGAACCGTTTGGCGACGAGTTGCATTTTCAACCGACTGAGTAAAAAGTGGATAACAAGTTAAGGAAATTTAACGCATCTGTTGAGAAAAGAGTTATCGATTCTGGAAACAAAAACTCGTTCTATAAACTCTTGAAATCAAGATTGAGGAATAAACCAAAAACTTTGGCTCTTTTTTCGCCTGAAGGAACCTCAGTTTTCAATGATGTAGACAAGGCAGAGCTAATGGCATCTACCTTTCAAGAATACTTCTCTCCCTCCTATGAGGAAGAAGAGTGATAGACGCTTCTGAATAGTTTCCTGATAACTCGATGACTCCGTGGGTTCAATCCGAGATTACGATTTTAGATATCTTCTCAAAATTGGCACGCAATCGAATTCTCTCACCCCTGACTTCATACCTCTACATTTTCTCAAAAAGGTTGCTCATCTCATAAGCGGGCCACTGGAGTATATATTCAATCTAAGCTTTATGAATGCACAAGTTCCACACAGATGGACCCTGTCATTCATAACGCCTATATACCAAAGAAACCTCCATACAATGTGCCTGATAACTTCAGGCCAGTTAGCATAACATCCATACTTTCAAGACTTTTCGAGAAGATTTTGAAGAAGCGGGTACTAGAGCATTTAGAGAAACACAGCATCATATCGCTCAGACAGCATGGTTTCCATAGAGGAAGATCAACTGTTACTGCTATGATTCAGTCGCTTAATCATTGGACTAAATACTTGGACGAAGGGAAGGCTGTTGACGTTATTTATATAGACTTCTTGCAGGCCTTCGACAGGGTACCTCACAAGAAAATTACTATCTAAAATGAGACTCG